GTCACCTGGGGTTTCCGCTGTATACAGGTGGAATGTATCCTAAGTAGAGGCGTAGTTTCACTTTTCACATGGAACAGCAGCATCCAGACACCACGTAATATCCTTATAAAGAACGGATACAGTGACTGTTAGTGAATCAGTGGCAAAGTAGTGGTCCTAAGGGAAGCACCTCAGAAGCTCTGTGAGCAGTTTCCAGTTAGTATCTCTATAGCTTCGATAATCCATAAGGCTTGCTTACTTCACGCATTTGGTGTTGAGATAGGTTGAATACCATTCTGTGATCACCATTGGGAAGTTCCCCACCAACATAAGTAATCACTGGGGTGATGTCATGGCAACATACTGAGTCCAACCTGTTATTGCCCGAGCGGCCACTTCCAGCCATAGAGACCTATCACAGCAAGTATCTCACAGAAGCACTGAGCACCACGACCAGCCAACCAGTTGATTCCAGGAGGGTTGAAGCCACCAGCAACCAGCTTAAAATTCACATCGTACGAGGAAGCACGAGCAAATGATTTAGTCATGCGTGTATCTGTTTCGGCTGTTGGGCGTGGTGCTCGATATACTCAGTCTATGAGCATTTTGCATTCGTCACCGTGTAAGGTGGCCCACAGTAGGTCGGGCTTTGCATTTAATATGTTGTCCTCAACCTTATTTGCTGTAACTTGGTTACATATGAGACAGCCACCACCATGCTTATGATCTCGATTAGCACGATAGGCGGTGTGTTCATCTCATATAAGTCTGCACCCAGGATGCTAGACGGACACCAAGTCGGTTTAGTGATCAGGATCGTTGTTATGAAGGTAGGTATTTTCCTAGGTAGAGATCGCGCGTGATGAGCAACAATTTAGATTCCTATGACTGATAAACTTACCTATAGTGTCAGCTGTACCCATCTCGTTACTTTTATTTCCACACAGCATGCCTACAGGTGATGTGAAGTTTGTGTTAGAAGAGAACTGAGGCTGGTTTGTAATGATAGGAGAATAGGTGGATTTGAGACATTCAAGTCCATTGGGCGGGACAGCTCGTTTATCGATAAGTCTTTACTCCCTAATGATATCGCATGTTGAAGTCCGTTGTCGGGGAGTGGCAGTTTGGACAATTTCAACCTTGTGCCAATGAACTGTGAACTTCTGCTGGACACCAAAGGTGGTACATAATGTTTGGTGACCCGTTAAGTACCATGAAGCCCAGGGTAGGGTGATTACCTAGTCCTAGGGTCACGATCGTGTGAGTTCCATCCTGGTCCAACGCTCTGGTAGGGATGGTTAGATACCTAATTCAAATTGCGGCCCTTTGTCAATGGCACTTGTTAGCGGGACACCGGACACAGACACCCAGTGCTGTGGAAAAGCTTCTGTCACTGTCTTTGCGGTGATATCTGTAAGTGAACTTGCTGCTGGGAACCTGCTGTATCTGTCAATGCAAGCAAGCATGCAAGGCCACTAGAATGAAGCAAGACACCTATCAAATCCAGATGCTAAGTTCAACACCTCAGCGCGAGTGGGTGGATGGACGTATTACTTACATTCAAAGACATCTGTCACAGCAAGTACCTCTTCAAGGCTCTGTAGACCAAAACCGGCTATTAGGATTAATGCCTACAACACTCACTTTAAAATGCTTGCTATATTAGGAAGCAGGAATAAATGGTTCGGTTAGAAGTGCGTAAGCGTACACCATTGAGTATGGTGCTCGATATACATGGCCAACAAGCTCCTCCTATTTATTGCTACGTAAGACGCCCCATGGTGGGTCAGGCACCAGGACTAATATGTTTCCCTCCTTCCTTCGTCTGCCATAACTTGGTCATACACATAGAAAGGGCAGCCACCACTATGCTTATGAACTTGGTTAGTGCGATGACCAGTGTGCCCATTCATATAAGGGCCTGAATACAGAGAGCAGGATGGAGATTGGGATTCAGTTATCAGCAGCATTGTCGGTTTATCAATTAAAATCATTGTTCTGAGGGCGGATATTTTACGATGTAGGGGTCGTGTGTTGATGAGCAAGAGTGTAAATGGGTTTATGTGGTTGGTGGACTTACAATAGCAGTTATGTCTAGGTTACTTCATTCATTTTCACACATTCTGTGTATGTGCGATGTATAGTTCAAGCTACAGACGGGCTGGTGCTGCCCAGTGACTTTGACGATAGGGGAAAGTGTGAATTTACAGCCCTCAGACCCATCTCTTAACAGCGAAATCTTTGGTGCGTTCTGATAACGCCAGTGGAAGTATGTTGCTAGTCTTGAGTCTTTGTCATGTGAGCTGATCCTGGATGCCAAGGTTCGTACATTGGGTGAAGTAACATAAAAAGTATCATGCGGCTCTGGCTTGTTAATACACTTGACAAAAGGAGCTATGTGCCTCTTCCTGAAGTGATGGACATTTGGGTTGCAGCACGGTGTTGCACTGAGGTGAGGAGGAATAGGTGGTTGATTATTTGTTCTAACGCCACTAATGCTACACACCAACGTGTTAAGGTCCAGTGAATCGAAAAGTAACAACGTACCACCGGTCCTTAGTGGGTGGAATATGAACAGACACATGGGCTATGAGGGTGATATTCCATAGAGGGAGTTTAGGCAGCCCGATATTGTTCACTTTTGTTGCAGCCTTTCCTACACTGTTTAATAAAATGCTCTTAAAATGGCTTTGCTTGTAGTTCCAATAAAGTCCGAATGCCGAAGTCATGCTTGTCGGTGTTCTGACGTTGACTATGTGGGGGTCCTTGACTGTACGTTGATGAAAGTGGTTTACCGTCGAATTAATTAATCAAAGTCTAAAAAGGACTACTCAGGTGATTCTGACGGGTCACTGCAAGTTCTTCGTCGTGAGGTGATCTTTCCGTGCAATTAGTTGCCCCCGAAATCATAGGCGGAAAGACTAAGTCGTTTCCAGAATGGTTTTCACGTGGACAGAGTATCCTCACTCCCATGAGTGCAATTTCTCTAAGTTTGCAGTTAACTATGATGCTGTTATGCAGCCAATGAACCTCTTAGCATTATTATAGAATCTGAAGACAGTGGTGCAACGGCGTTATGAAAGATCTGTAAGTAAATGCCTACGATTCCACTGCACATTTTTCGTGCCTCAGGCTCCTAGGATCTCACTTTTGACGGCTGCAAAATTCCGACTTTCAGGTACACTGTATATTATGGCTCGCTGAAGCAACTCCGGTCATCGCATTATCTCAGTTGTTGAGAAAATCAAAGTTTCCCGCCTTTTGTAAGTTCTCTTGCCAGTCTGCTTGACTGATTAAATGAATCAGATGGCGGGGAGAATTTACCGAGCGTCTTTAGAATCTCACCTGGAATAGCCCTAACACTAACCACGTCATCATGGTCTCCTTCAAGTCCTGCATCCATTTATGGAGGCAACGTCTGAAGCTACGATGATCAACGTTTCGAGGACAATATTCCCATCATCTGAATTATAAGACCTTTAACGCACTAATGATGGGGGTGGATAACGAAGCACTTGATCCAGAGATTTCCGCCAAAATAGTCTATTTCTGAGCGACTAGCCTTATTGCTTTGCATGATCAAGGTATGAATTTACTCCGCGTTATTGCGCCAACATCGGGTTTTTTACTTGAAAAGCTGAATAATTTCACTGACCAAATTTAGTAGATACACGTCACCATTTTTCAGGTGGTAATGAATGTGACAAAGTATAGACAAACGGAGTCAGTGAAAATGGTGGAAATCCCATGTACGTGTAGGGCAATTCGTAGACTACCACAGATATAAGCGTTGTCTCAGCTTGTGACACTTAGGCTTGTTGATTGTCTCAGGTTCCTCACCTATTTCCGTCCCAAATAGAGACAAGTCACCTAGCTGGTTGCCAAGCTCGTGAATGAGCCGTGTGGTCTTCAGTCGATTCGATTTCACTGATGCCCTAGTCTTGCCTCCGCCCCTTTCCACGTCGCCAAATTTTGGCTTGTCCATGGACCTTCTTGCCTTCGTAGACCAGATGACCAGACTAGGGTTGAAAACAAGCTGTATCCAATGCGTACAATGGACGTGCTAACCCCACCTTCGGCGTCCTTGCTGGGTAGAACTGTCACTTGTTTCACCTGATCGGTTAACGACAAGATATAACTGAAAATTACATAACTGTTAGCCTTATTGCACTATCAACTGGCACAAGGATTTTAGTCATGCTAGTTGCCCAAACCCACCGTATGACTTTGGCGTCCTTTCCATTTGCTGATTTGCGAACTCCTGATTGCTTGTTTCTAGGTTCTAGTTTCCAGTTCCAAATTCCCGTTTTAGCGTTTCTTTCCAGCCTCCTTCTACTATCCCTCATCATGCGACTGGCATCCTTGGGGACATCTCCTTGTTTGGATCTACACAAATGACAATGCCATTTGAGTTCAAGCTTCCTAGGCTTAGCTTCTCAGCCTGCACCGGTGAAACAACCTATGACAGGTATAACAGTGCATGCCAGCCTGAATACGTTGACAACAATTATGTCACATGGATGCCTCCTGCTGGAAACCATTATTATAAAAGCGCAAAATGGAAAGCAACCATAAAAGGAATGCCCCGAAAACCTGAAGTAGTACTAATGATGTACGTAAAACTTGGTTTTGAAGGCCTGTGTATCCAAATAAAAATTAAGATGGACTCAACAACAGGAATAATTGCAGAAGTTAGGGTTCCAGATGTGTGTTGTTATATAAAACCGCAGCTTTCGTTGTGCGATTCAACAGCAAAAGCTAAAATGTTAAGTCACGATAGTACCACACTTCTTTTCGAAAAGCGCGCGTAGAATATTGTAAGTACACCGTACCTTTTCATGGCGTATTAAAACTTGAACTCAAGAAATATTAACCTGCCTATGGAAACACTCTAAAGTTCAGTTCACTATGAAAACTTAACTACGTCTTGTTCACACCCGCGACTTGCGATAGTTACGCCACAAGAAAGGTCGCAGCTGGATAAAGGTTGACGCTTAATTTATGTCGATAAAAGCTAACTGATGTTGCCGGCGTTTGTCGCGAGGCTGATCATGTAGGTGATCTGTACTATTTATTCACACTCAGAACTGTTTTCGGAGTTATGCACCCTTCCTACAGAACGTATAAAGCCATTAAACGGAAAGATTATCAGGAAGTGGTATGGATGAATGTGTTAACTTTATCAATTTTCTTGGCCATTTAGGTGACACTTGGAATGTATTGGGTGGTGTTCAGCATGTATATAACCGTGGAACTTCTCTCAGACATGTTACTTCAATGGTATGTCATTTTCTGCGGGCTGTAGTTATTTCTTAGGCTTCCGTTTTATTATGAAGCTAAAACTTTATTTATCATCTGGTTAGTCACGCCAGCCACATCAGGATATAGTTTCATTTATCGAAAAGTTATCCATCCAGAGCTCACCAAGAGGGAAAATGTATGTTCACTGTTAATTTATTTTTTCAGGAGATTGATGAAGCCATAAATAAGGCCAAAGAAAAAGGTTACTCAAAAGTTGTCGAGTTTGGTGCTAAAGGGCTCAATTATGCTGCTAAAGCTGTGCTTTCCGGTGCTATGTTGGTATGTATACATCATTTTGTTCATTATCGTGAGACATCTTAGCAGAAAAAGTACCATTTTCTTTTCCCCCTATTTAATTCTAAATCCAATTTGAATTGTTGTAAAAATCACAAAGTTATTTGGCTGTAGGACAAACATTAGATTAGACAGTTCTCACTATGTCTTACGTATATCAAGCTGTTTGAACTCTTGTAACACATATTAACGGCCAATAAAGTGCTATATACATTCATGAGAGCGTTTACGCTTCCCACTTTTCGATAATCTCTGTTACATACATTCAAAAGACTATCTTTGAACAAGAAAACCCTGCTGTGTATAACTTTCTTAACCTTAGTGCCTAAAAGTTAAATCTTAGTCGCTTGAGTACCACTGTTCGTCAAACCCAAAAGTCGCCGATAAAACTGGATCACTCCTCAGTGTATTACATTGCACTGTGAGTTGATAGGTAGTGCTATCTTGACGTTGTTAAAGCCTCAATGAATTATTATGTGGGGTTTGATAAGTAATGCAAATCATCGACTCCAAACAGTTATATATGCTTCAGAATCAAAAGTACTGATGAAACCAGATGCATCTACAATGTATATTCGTGCAGATCATAGTAACTTTCTTTGCTTTATCTCATCTCCCTTAGAGTCTCTCATGGCTTTCTCCCAATTCCGATTACATATTTCTACGTTCATTTATCCTTCATTTTGTTTCTTTGTATCCCTATACAATCATATAAAGTGACAGCTTGGTTAATTGAGCAGTACCATCTAGTGAATTATAAGTTTCAGCTGACTGATGAAAATACATAGTTTATCAGCAACTTTTTAGGCAAGAAACAGGTTTATTTGCGATCTTCATGCTCTCTCTTTCAGGTACAGAAAATGCTCGTCTGCACTTTCTTGAGTATTTACTGCTGTCTTTAGATCGAACTCACTTTGATTTTTAGTTGTAATACTGACTGTCATTGAATCTCCTACATCGATCTATTTAGCATAGCAAGTTAGGTGACCTCCAGAAAATAAGTTAAAAACACTGAAGCGTGATTAGGGTTCCACCACAGCCTGAAACAAATGGTTTTTATAAATATCTATGCACTACTGGTGGCTGATTGCGGTATGACCTGTTTGGATTTGAAAACAAAGAAACGATGCCGGTTAATATATCCAATCAACATCATTGTGTGATCTGGTATTACTGAGTAACAGTGCAAGTTGCTTCACCCCAGATCAAGACCTCAAGGTAGAAGGCACCAAGATGAGATAAAGAGAAACTAAGAAAAGAGTAGTCAAAACTGCAGTCATCAAAACAGGAAAGAGGAAGAAGATAATACTGAAAACCAGTATGACGATTAGGATGATTACAATGTAGGCATACATTTGAGACACATCGATTCTCAGCCACATGATCTTGAGTCTTCAGTCACCAATTTAGGCTGTTACGCGGTCCTCAACCTCGAAGTATACATTCCCCGGATAACACAGGTTTCATGAACTTGTGCCATGTTATAGTTTGACCACCTCCATCTTCAAGGCTGAATCCACCTCAGCTAACATTAAGCAACAGAGTAGACAGTAACTGAGCATGCAAAAATCATGTTCTAGTCACCTCAGTCGATGATAGTTCGCAACTTCATTCACTGACTTTCGTTATCTCCCTCCGAAACCTCAACGCGAGACTTTAACATTACTGATGTGGTGGCACCACAACATACAGCCTATTCCCAGTATTCAGGCTGAAACCGAGTGAGACCCAGATGTCGCTCCTTCAAATCTCATCGAAGTCGAGAAAGCTATTTCTAACCTGAAACAATGCAAAGCAACTGAACCTGATAGCAACCGTCTGCAGTTTTTACGGACGGAGGTAGGAAATTACTGACTAGAGTAACGGAGGTACCAGGCAACGTATGGTGACCAGACGTAGTCCCGTCAGACCGGTGTACTTCGCTGGTAACTTCAGTCTATAAGAAAGGATATGTCTTGTGACAACCATAGTAGCATTGGCTTAACTAAAGTCATGTAGAAGATCCTTGTGTCTATAGTTATCCAACGTCTAACTGGAACTCGAAAAGACCAAACTCGAGTAAACCAGGAAGGTTTCAGACCTGAACGAGGGTGACTCGATCAGACTTTATGCTTCGACAGGTCCTGGAACGTAGGCTAAATTACAGGTAGCATACACTTGCCGTATTTTTTTTTTACCTTGACGGTGGCATTTGTCTACGTCGACCTTAGTGTGTTGTGGCAGTGTCTGACCGTGAAGAGAGTACCGAACAAGCATACTGTTTTAATCAAAGCTCTGCTGGGACTTACGCAGCCTGTAAGGACTTACGGTGAGTTGTCATCTGAACTGACGACAACTAATGATGTGATGTCCGGCGAGAATACTCGCTGTCACCGTTCCTATTTAATTTCGTAGTAGGTGTACTAGTGGACATAATCTTAGGTACGTCTGACTTCAAAGGGGTCAACCTACTTTCTCGAGGCCATCTGGTTGACTCGGAGTATGCAGTGGACATTGTCCTGCTGGGTGAAGACGCTGACAAAACGTAGGGCCTTGTGAACGCGTTGAACAGAAATCCGAGTATGTTTGGCATGTGTTTCACTGGCACCTGTCAAATGTAAGATGATGCTCCAGGACTGGTCTGCTGCCAGTTTAATGATGGGGAATGAAGTGTTGGGATGTGTCGACCACTTCACTTACCTGGGGAGATACATCAGCCCGCCGAGCGGGCTGGTTGCTGACGCAATCTCAACTGGGATACCGTAGGCATACCGTCTAGCATTTACCAACTTGCGTCATCTGTGGCACCGACTGGCGAGATATCCAACTATCTATCAAAGAATGAGTATACTGTACTGCCACCGGCTCCTTCGATGTGCCATGCTAGTCGGAGTTGGAATAGGTCAGGAGAGGGATCACAGAGTGCCCAGACAGACGTGGCACCGGTCAATGAAGTACCTTACTTTTGGTGGGAGCCGTGTGGTTAGATGTGGACTAACGGCTTAATGTCCCAGAGACCGGAGGAATCGGTGGGTGTAAGCTCTTGGTGACATGGCAGAAAATCGGTCACAATGGAGCAAGTGTGTTCACTCCTTGATATCTCCTAAAGCTTGTATATCCCCACTAACCTTTATCTTTAGATTGTTTAATAGCTCATACTACTTTATCTCCTTTGATGTCACTCCTTTTCTATCCACCTGTTCTTTGTGTACTAATGTGAGATGTGGCAACTTTGCGGGTGCACCTTTGGCGAGGTTCTAGGTTGGTTTTGCCAATCAGTCAGTCGGTCAAGGTGATGCATCTCAGAATCGATCTGTTTCTCAGATATATGCACACATTTTAATCATGCTAATCGTCTTACTGTTTTCGGTATTCTCTCTTTCCTCCTCGCTCTATTTTGATCACTTTCTGTAGTTTTACTATTTTTTTCTTTGCCTCTCTATATTTCAACTTGGTATCTCCTACCTTGATGTTCTGATCTGAAACGAGACAACCTGAAGTGTTTCGCCAGTACATCCACCACTTAAATTAGCAGTTTCCTAACCTACCTGCATATTTGACAAACTAAGGGGAGAACTGCCAGTTCCTGCTGCTTTGCATCGTTTCAGGTTCGATACATCTTTCTCAACTTCAAGGAGAGTTGGCGGACCGACATCTGCTTCCCATTCAGGTTCAGGCTGGGTGTTGGGTAACTGAAGTCTTGGTGAGGACCAGTTGAACTATGCCTCAAAGTGTTCTAGCCGCTTATCCTGGGAGGTTATCAGAATACCATTATCTTCCTCTTGCCAGTATCCTTCCTAATAAGCCTAAATAGATGTTGAGTGGTAGTCAACGTTGATGCCTTCGCCACCCACTACTCCTAGCGATCGAAGCGAAGACTTTTGGTCAACTTACGTTTAAGTTGCTTTCCCTCTTCGTCGTGGTCAGAGCCAGCTGGAATCAATCTTCTCGTACCAGTCAGTTCAGATGACATCACGAGAATCCAATGACATCATCTTGAGTCTCTCACCATTGATTTCAGTTGTCACGTGGACCTCAACACGGAAGTACATATTCCCTGCACGATACAGACCAAAAGTCAAGTCTAAACCTACTTCACCTAACACTGAACGACACACTAGATAGTTACTAAGCATATGTAACATGCCCCAGTCACCTCAGTCGATGAAGGTTCATAACTTCATCAACTGAATCTCCTCCTTTCCTCCCCAAATCTCTGCGCCTGACTTCCAAGTTGCGGAAGGCGGCGACACACATGTTGTGTTTTGTACACACGAATCGGTTGATACATTAGCTGGATTTCATTTAACTTTTCGTTGTTGCAGTGGATTGTTTATTTTGAAAAATGAGTCTTACCTTAACTGCCGGGAAAGCGATTCTTCTATTTACTCCATCCGCCACCTCTTTTACCTTGAATGAACCACTTTTAAGAATAATTAATGATATGATTACTTTTAGTGTTGTGTACGAATTCTGTTAAGTAATCTTTGTATTTCTAAGAATTTATTTCTCATATGGAACAACACTTTTATTGTTTTCTCTCTTCAGGGTCAAGACTTTTTGGTTGATCGCCTTGGTAAACGAAGTTCAAGTATGTTTGAACTTAATCGTCGGTCGCAAATACTACATCAAAGGTTGGGTGTTGGTGATGCTTTAGACTATGACGAGCCAGATTTCGTCAGCACTTTTCGAGGTGAATAAAATATTATATTTTCTTCATTTAACGCTCAATTTCTTTGCCTTGTAACTAATTTTTACATAAATTTACATTGAATTCGCACTCAGCTTCCTTAGTAATCTTTGAATTTTACGCCTTTAGTTCCGCTATTGTGGCTGTTTTTCTTTGTCATTCTCTAAGACTAACATATTTTTCCAAATTTTTTGTTGTAGTCATGTAGTTACTCTAATTATCCAATATTTTAATAACATGGTCTCACTTTTCAGAGAGAACAACTCAAGAGGATGATCCATTTTCACTTAACTGGCTACAGATGGGATCGACAGGGTCACTAGGGAGACACTGGAGACCGGGTTCTAAAGGTGTGGTGTATATTTTTTGTTTGCGTATATTTTTAGTGTGTATGTAGTTGTATAATATGTGAAGATTTAATCAAATCAATGTGTGCATGCACGTAAATGATTTTTGTATCACTCTTGCATTCCTTAATCTGACTAATTTAATTTCAGTTTCAGACATATTAGGTAGTTAGTGTTTATCTGTCTAACAACCTTCTTGCCTATCGTTTGGTATGCACTTCTTGATTTGCATGTTCTTCTTTGATGACTAAATTGTGTTAGTTCCATTTTATATTTATTTATTTGACAATAACTTGTTGATACGGTATAATTTATTATCTATTTAGCACCGCATTACTGTGCTATATCAAAGACGTGTAATATAGGACCGTACTATCTCACAGAACCCAGGTGTCGCTATTTTATTATAATATATTGTATACTTACAGATTTAAGGTTCCGTATTATATTCATGATACGTTTGTTTTATTTCTAAAATAAATGAAACTTTTTTTCTAGTGTATCCAGTTGGTTAATGGTTTTTTTTGTGAACAAAGTAATGCTTTGCTTTCACAGATGTATAACGGTGTAAAGTAGGTCACTTAACATGCATCAAAATTTTCTTTTCTTTTTGACATTTTCTTCTAATCTAACGTGGTTTGTTGTGGCTTCATATTATTGAAAATTGAATAAATCAGCTAACTGTTTATTAGAAAACATTTTTGCTGTTTTTAAGTGTGCCCAACAAACTGCTTTTTTTTGACATTAAAATGGATTTTTAGACATTCTTTGTTACTCGATTCTGATAATAACTGTTCTGTGTCATCTTTTAAAGTCGCTGTCGTAAAAAGGCTATGCGTTTTTTTATCAGTTAATCACGAATGAGCTACTAATTTGGGTAAATTACACCCATGTAACCGTTGTGTATGCAGTAAGTGTACCTCCTATCTGTACAAGTACTTTGTGCCATGTATGGAACTTTATTGTTCTACAAGTTTTGCGCTATCAGCCAAATCACATTGCTGATTTAAATGGATAGTATATATTTGACTATGTCGCTCAACAGTTTTAACTACTTATCTCTGACTGAAGTCATAAAGATTTCAATCCTGTAACATAAAGCACTGATCCCTTCATCGAATGGGATGGATCCAAGAGATTCGTTTGTCTTTTTATAGATATTGTATTGTTTGAAAAAATAGCAAGTATACATGGATGCTCACACAATTTCTGGGGTCTTATCACAACCACGTCTGTAAACTCATGCGCATGTAACAGAATTACCGTGTTAGCAATGTGGGAGCTCTGTGTAGATTCCGTAATTATCAGATGTCTAAACGGTGCTTGACATCAGCAAGCCCGAGTAAAATAGGCAGGTTTCAGACCTTGTGATGGGTGTATCGGACAGATGTCCACCCTCCACCAAGTTATGCAACACAGACACATCTACTGAAGCCTGACACTAACTGTAATTATTGGCCTGAAGGCGATATTTGACCCCGTCGACCGAGAGGTCGTATAGTAGTTTCTCACCGGAAGAAGCCGGACGACCATCACTGTATTGAACCCTCTGTAGTGAAACACCCGTGTGGTAGAGCCCATAGTGAGTTATCAGGTGAGTTGGGTGCGTCAAGCGGTGTCCATCAAGGATGTTCACTCCTTTCATTCGTTTTCAATTCGTCATAAACACGCTTATGAAGGTCTTTACCTCACCATTTGACTCAACTCAGATGAATCTTGTTACAGACATCTCTTTAGCACACCTGGAGCAGGTGACACGGTCCAGTTGGGTGAAGACGCTGACAAAATACTACAGTCTTCTGAACACATTGAGTAGCAAATTGAGTGTTTCGGATGCGTTTCTCACCCACACACAAACGCAGATTGTTGCTCGAGGACTGGTTTGTGTTGGTGTCCAGGCGAAGAATGGAGAGTGAAATGGTGATTAAGCGCGTTGACCACCTCATTTACGGATCAGTCCAGTCGGATCAGTCCACGTGGGTCAGTGACCAACCAAATCTCTGTATAGATACAAAAGATTCTATTGGCTGTCGCCAGCCTACGTCATTTATTGCGTCGTTGTGACATTCGATTGCCTATTAAGGACTAAGTGTAAGTGGGGCTGCAGTTCCTACTGTTCTACTGTATGGTAGTGAAACATGTCCTTTAAGGGTGGAGGACATGAGAAGGCCTCAGGTGTTCGACCACCGTTGCCGCCTTCATAGCATAGGCCGCAACCTGGAAGTCAGGCGCAGAGATTTGGGGAGGGAAGGAGGAGATTCAGTTGATGAAGTTATGAACCTTCATCGACTGAGGTGACTGGGGCATGTTACATATGCTTAGTAACTATCTAGTGTGTCGTTCAGTGTTAGGTGAAGTAGGTTTAGACTTGACTTTTGGTCTGTATCGTGCAGGGAATATGTACTTCCGTGTTGAGGTCCACGTGACAACTGAAATCAATGGTGAGAGACTCAAGATGATGTCATTGGATTCTCGTGATGTCATCTGAACTGACTGGTACGAGAAGATTGATTCCAGCTGGCTCTGACCACGACGAAGAGGGAAAGCAACTTAAACGTAAGTTGACCAAAAGTCTTCGCTTCGATCGCTAGGAGTAGTGGGTGGCGAAGGCATCAACGTTGACTACCACTCAACATCTATTTAGGCTTATTAGGAAGGATACTGGCAAGAGGAAGATAATGGTATTCTGATAACCTCCCAGGATAAGCGGCTAGAACACTTTGAGGCATAGTTCAACTGGTCCTCACCAAGACTTCAGTTACCCAACACCCAGCCTGAACCTGAATGGGAAGCAGATGTCGGTCCGCCAACTCTCCTTGAAGTTGAGAAAGATGTATCGAACCTGAAACGATGCAAAGCAGCAGGAACTGGCAGTTCTCCCCTTAGTTTGTCAAATATGCAGGTAGGTTAGGAAACTGCTAATTTAAGTGGTGGATGTACTGGCGAAACACTTCAGGTTGTCTCGTTTCAGATCAGAACATCAAGGTAGGAGATACCAAGTTGAAATATAGAGAGGCAAAGAAAAAAATAGTAAAACTACAGAAAGTGATCAAAATAGAGCGAGGAGGAAAGAGAGAATACCGAAAACAGTAAGACGATTAGCATGATTAAAATGTGTGCATATATCTGAGAAACAGATCGATTCTGAGATGCATCACCTTGACCGACTGACTGATTGGCAAAACCAACCTAGAACCTCGCCAAAGGTGCACCCGCAAAGTTGCCACATCTCACATTAGTACACAAAGAACAGGTGGATAGAAAAGGAGTGACATCAAAGGAGATAAAGTAGTATGAGCTATTAAACAATCTAAAGATAAAGGTTAGTGGGGATATACAAGCTTTAGGAGATATCAAGGAGTGAACACACTTGCTCCATTGTGACCGATTTTCTGCCATGTCACCAAGAGCTTACACCCACCGATTCCTCCGGTCTCTGGGACATTAAGCCGTTAGTCCACATCTAACCACACGGCTCCCACCAAAAGTAAGGTACTTCATTGACCGGTGCCACGTCTGTCTGGGCACTCTGTGATCCCTCTCCTGACCTATTCCAACTCCGACTAGCATGGCACATCGAAGGAGCCGGTGGCAGTACAGTATACTCATTCTTTGATAGATAGTTGGATATCTCGCCAGTCGGTGCCACAGATGACGCAAGTTGGTAAATGCTAGACGGTATGCCTACGGTATCCCAGTTGAGATTGCGTCAGCAACCAGCCCGCTCGGCGGGCTGATGTATCTCCCCAGGTAAGTGAAGTGGTCGACACATCCCAACACTTCATTCCCCATCATTAAACTGGCAGCAGACCAGTCCTGGAGCATCATCTTACATTTGACAGGTGCCAGTGAAACACATGCCAAACATACTCGGATTTCTGTTCAACGCGTTCACAAGGCCCTACGTTTTGTCAGCGTCTTCACCCAGCAGGACAATGTCCACTGCATACTCCGAGTCAACCAGATGGCCTCGAGAAAGTAGGTTGACCCCTTTGAAGTCAGACGTACCTAAGATTATGTCCACTAGTACACCTACTACGAAATTAAATAGGAACGGTGACAGCGAGTATTCTCGCCGGACATCACATCATTAGTTGTCGTCAGTTCAGATGACAACTCACCGTAAGTCCTTACAGGCTGCGTAAGTCCCAGCAGAGCTTTGATTAAAACAGTATGCTTGTTCGGTACTCTCTTCACGGTCAGACACTGCCACAACACACTAAGGTCGACGTAGACAAATGCCACCGTCAAGGTAAAAAAAAAATACGGCAAGTGTATGCTACCTGTAATTTAGCCTACGTTCCAGGACCTGTCGAAGCATAAAGTCTGATCGAGTCACCCTCGTTCAGGTCTGAAACCTTCCTGGTTTACTCGAGTTTGGTCTTTTCGAGTTCCAGTTAGACGTTGGATAACTATAGACACAAGGATCTTCTACATGACTTTAGTTAAGCCAATGCTACTATGGTTGTCACAAGACATATCCTTTCTTATAGACTGAAGTTACCAGCGAAGTACACCGGTCTGACGGGACTACGTCTGGTCACCATACGTTGCCTGGTACCTCCGTTACTCTAGTCAGTAATTTCCTACCTCCGTCCGTAAAAACTGCAGACGGTTGCTATCAGGTTCAGTTGCTTTGCATTGTTTCAGGTTAGAAATAGCTTTCTCGACTTCGATGAGATTTGAAGGAGCGACATCTGGGTCTCACTCGGTTTCAGCCTGAATACTGGGAATAGGCTGTATGTTGTGGTGCCACCACATCAGTAATGTTAAAGTCTCGCGTTGAGGTTTCGGAGGGAGATAACGAAAGTCAGTGAATGAAGTTGCGAACTATCATCGACTGAGGTGACTAGAACATGATTTTTGCATGCTCAGTTACTGTCTACTCTGTTGCTTAATGTTAGCTGAGGTGGATTCAGCCTTGAAGATGGAGGTGGTCAAACTATAACATGGCACAAGTTCATGAAACCTGTGTTATCCGGGGAATGTATACTTCGAGGTTGAGGACCGCGTAACAGCCTAAATTGGTGACTGAAGACTCAAGATCATGTGGCTGAGAATCGATGTGTCTCAAATGTATGCCTACATTGTAATCATCCTAATCGTCATACTGGTTTTCAGTATTATCTTCTTCCTCTTTCCTGTTTTGATGACTGCAGTTTTGACTACTCTTTTCTTAGTTTCTCTTTATCTCATCTTGGTGCCTTCTACCTTGAGGTCTTGATCTGGGGTGAAGCAACTTGCACTGTTACTCAGTAATACCAGATCACACAATGATGTTGATTGGATATATTAACCAGCATCGTTTCTTTGTTTTCAAATCCAAACAGGTCATACCGCAATCAGCCACCAGTAGTGCATAGATATTTATAAAAACCATTTGTTTCAGGCTGTGGTGGAACCCTAATCACGCTTCAGTGTTTTTAACTTATTTTCTGGAGGTCACCTAACTTGCTATGCTAAATAGATCGATGTAGGAGATTCAATGACAGTCAGTATTACAACTAAAAATCAAAGTGAGTTCGATCTAAAGACAGCAGTAAATACTCAAGAAAGTGCAGACGAGCATTTTCTGTACCTGAAAGAGAGAGCATGAAGATCGCAAATAAACCTGTTTCTTGCCTAAAAAGTTGCTGATAAACTATGTATTTTCATCAGTCAGCTGAAACTTATAATTCACTAGATGGTACTGCTCAATTAACCAAGCTGTCACTTTATATGATTGTATAGGGATACAAAGAAACAAAATGAAGGATAAATGAACGTAGAAATATGTAATCGGAATTGGGAGAAAGCCATGAGAGACTCTAAGGGAGATGAGATAAAGCAAAGAAAGTTACTATGATCTGCACGAATATACATTGTAGATGCATCTGGTTTCATCAGTACTTTTGATTCTGAAGCATATATAACTGTTTGGAGTCGATGATTTGCATTACTTATCAAACCCCACATAATAATTCATTGAGGCTTTAACAACGTCAAGATAGCACTACCTATCAACTCACAGTTAAGCGTAGTGCACTGATGAGGGACCCGCTTTTTTTCTGTTGGATATCGAAAGGAAATGTTCAGGATTCTGTGAAGGCAGATTTTACCGGTTTGTATCGAGAGGTGTAAGCGTCTTGTGTTTTGTCAGCATGAGAATCGAATTCGTTTTATAGACACTTTAAAATGTCACTGGTTTATAAATGTTTTGTTTTCTCAAATGCTAACTTCGTGTGAGATACCTTTGATTTATTCTTTTACCTTGTCTTCTGCATTAAAAGAATTAAAGATGAGATGCTTTTTATGTTCTTTGTATTCTTCCCTCTTCATTTCCTTTCATCGTGATAGTGGGAAGCATTGTCGCCGATACCGAAGAGCGATTTTTAAACGTTTCGCGTTGGACTTATCTTTATTACATGGGTTACGATTGAAAGTGAAATACTAATCTGGGCCTCTGCAGAATTTGAATCAGAGGCCATCAGTTCAGAAACCCTATCCTAGGCCAGATTTTCATCTGACCTTCAGTTTTCGCCCAGTATCGATACTGGTGTGTCCAACCAACGCTATCTCAGATAGTAAGACTAATAATTATACTTATCTGTTCGTCACTTTATGATACCTGTTCGACTTATCGGTGTTCAGAGATAGCGTACTTTGGTAGCAGTTTGTCTCTACATTATCCTTCACAACCAACTGTTTGATTCGTCTCGGTTGCTAGGATATGGTTTTCTACGATGACTCCCAAGCATAACTTAGACGATAGTTTATATTCACCAAATCATCTTCATTGTACTACGTATCCTACTACTTGTGGTCGTTTTGTGTGCGGTTACAAGTTTCTACATTAACAGTTTACATTTTGTTTATTGATGATTCAGTTAAGTATGTACCATATTTTAGTTCAGATAAGATTTTTGTTATCTGTCAGGGTTAGTTTGACCCATATAATTTACGCAGGGAGTACTGAGATAAACGGATCCTCATTAACTGATAAACGATTTAAGCCTCAAAATTACGTTTCCTGTTTTGTGCTGACTTGGACCATTTATGTTGTTCGTTGATTGTCTTACCCATTTACTTAGCTTACAAACTATAGTTTTATTCACTGACATGTTTTGGGTTTCAAACTTATAAATTGTAATATATATTTTTGTAGGCTTGAGCAATGTACCAGAAGATGCAGAAAATCTAACTGACGAATCTCAGTCAGTAATATCCAACCGATCAGTTTCAACCAGACGTACAGCTGTTGCTCAGGTGAGACTAATATATATATATATATATATATATATATATATATATATTTCTTGTTTTTTTCATCACAACTCTGCACTCTAAAAAGAAATAGACTTAGGTACTTAGTAATACCTCCCTTCAAACCAATAAATTGACATAGGACCTCAAACAAAAGGGCATCATTTCAGTTTGCTGCACTTTATAACGAAGCAGAGAAAAAGAACGGAAGTGGAAGGGCTGAGACAAACTATCAGAAGAGCAATATGTCCTGAATTCACGAGACGCTCGACAGGAGAGCTAAAATAGTTTCGATTTCACTTTTTAACATCCAAGCTGGTTAATTTTCATGAGTGCGTTTAGTATTTGAGCATATGGTACGGCCTATTTTATCAGGTTGCGCAGGAGCGAGTGAACTTGTAGATACACATTGATGAGGTGTCACCTTATCCTTTACACAGCAGTTGTCTCGTCATTGTGTATCTACAAGTTCAGTTGGTCCATTGGAGCGGAGTACATCTGTCACACCATGCGTTCACTTGCCAAATTCTGTCATCAACATTATCGAAAAGTAAAAATAAGACTATCTCTAACCCTTTCGTCTAGGATCTATTGAAAACCAGAGCGGATGGAATAAATGACTGGGGATCAATGAAATGCTCATATCTCTTCATGACAATGTGTGAATGCGTCTGAGTCATTTTGATACATATTTTAAGCCATTTTATTGAAAATCTGCGACTATCGATTCCTATCTCGTCAACCACCCTAGTAAAACAGTGTATTTGACTTAAATTAGCTATCATAGGTTTCACGAGCTGATGTTATGTCTTTGTCTTTCCTTATTTTTCTGCCAAAATAATCCTGCTACAGCTCTCATTGCGTGTCTAGCCAAATAGTGGATGGGCACGCATAACAAATGTGCGAACCACTGAACTCGTCTCAGGTTCACAGCCTCGTCAATTAGCTTATCTTTACACCTAACCTCAAAATTTCTCGCATTGTAATTTCATCACACACGAGCAATGCTGCGAAGAAATCTATGGTCAAAAACTGTTATCTCCTCATCTTTTATACTTCCAGTGGCCATATTTCACAACCGTACACTGAGACAGGAACGATTGTCACGTAGTATACTCATCCTCTGATAAGTAATCGAATATCTTACTGGCCTCAGAGTTGGTGTAATTTGGCAAACATGGAATTTTCCTTCCCCATTTGAACTCCGTTTTTGTTATTAACCAACCTATTAAGGCCGATACAACTCTTTGAGTAAGTAGAGTTGCTAATGCATTCCACCATTTTACTTTCCATCCCTTGTCTAAGAGTTCATGCAGACCATTTCTAAAGCGTCATCTTACATCTAGCAGTTGTGAAAGGCATGCTAAGCATACTCAGAATTTTTCCCAATCCCGTCAGAGTTGTCGGCGTCCTGGTCTAGTATGACTATGTCACATGTGAGCTCTAAGTCGACTAAGTTCCCCAAGTAGTAATTAAACCCCTTAGAAGTCCAATTTATATAAGATAATATCCATTGAAACGTCTATAACGGTTAAATAGCAGTGGTCACAATGGTTTTTTTGGCGGTACACTGTCGTCAGTTCAGGAAAATATCATCTTGGTTATTTTCCGTTGGATTCATTCGTGATAGTTATCCATTGAAGTCGTCGATCACAATTAATCTCTGTGTACATCTAAACTTTGAATGCAGACTTAACACTTTAATGTAGATATGATTTGGCTGTGAAATGTAAATGCGATTTGTCTAACTAGTCAAGGCTCATATTAAGAAACTATGCTACGTTTACTATTATAATAGCAGTATTCTTGAAAATGAATTTACAATTTTTTTGGGGAAAAACTTTTATTGCTAGAAATCCCCAATTCTGTCCATATGAATGTATACTTGCTGCGTTCTTTGTTGGAAGGCTTATCTCGCAGACATTCTTTTCTTTGTCTATAGAATTGTTATTTTCTCTTTTTTGTGTCACATGTTACACACACGCGCAATACAATAGGTTAAGTATCTGTGTTCATCCCCAGGGTTAAATGTTTAGTATAGTTGTGTTTTGCTTGTAATTCAAATCTGTCTGCTTATTTCCTGCACATCATATATGTAAGGCTACTTGTTATTATTCTCCTTTTGATAAACTGAAGATCTCTCTAATAATTTAATTTAGTTCAGATTTACTATTAGTTGTGCATTCGCACCGTCGTATATTCACAGAGTACTAGAGTCCTTGATGGTTTTCTTTTTCGCCTGTTGCTCATGCTTCTTATTTCTATATCAAATGCTGTTTTAGCAGGACATTCACGGAAAGTATATGCTTCAGGCAAGAGAAGCATAAACCAGTAATTATGTTTCTTAATTTAGGTTCTGTTGATTACATTTCTGAAATACTACTGTCCGATTTTCCCCCTTTTTTACTTTTATGGATACAAAGGTAAATATTAAAATTTTTTTGCACTTTCACAACTTGTGTAGACCAAAATCAAAGTTCTCTTCCTCTATACCCTTGAGTTTCTTACTAAGTTTTCACTTAGTTCATTCCTCGTATATCGAGAAAAAACACATGAAACTGTTTCATATTTCGCTGGATCGTCTGATTGTTCAGCAAACTTAATGCTCAATGTTGAAATTCAACACCAGAAATTAGTTTCCATCAAACCTTTACAACAATGATTCTCTTTGCACATGGATCAAAAGGTAAGGGCATTATTACTAGTTCATCCATGGGTATTTGTTTCGACTTGTGAAAGGTAGAACACAAACACTTACAAGATGGTTGTATTGGAATGTTGATAGTCTGATTGTATATTGAAGTGTTGAGTTTTGCAAATATGGTTAACTAGTGGTGCGTAATCTGGATACCAAATGAACGATATGATACTCAACCACTAGCGTGGCTAACACAAAGATGATAGTATTGAACTGAAGAGAATGTACTTCAGTCAAAGAGATATGAATCTAAAGGCACAATATTTTCGTTTATATACAATTTGGGTGTCCTTCGGGCCAAACAGAAAAACTAGCATATTGAAAGTGAAAGATTAAATAATAGAGAGATGGCATCTTTAAAAGTGATAAAAACGAGCGGTACACACCAGGCAGAAAAGGGCGTAAAACAAATAAACTTGAATTTTCTCAGATAAATTCATGAATTTTGGGCATAAATGTTCATTTTCAGGGATCTTATATCCCCTACACAAAAATATATCGAATCACTTGAATTCAGTACACAAAATGTTGAGTTGGAACTTTCCTATTGTGTCCTTCATTGTAAACTAACTTACTGACAAAAACAACGTAGAACCTGTCACACAGGTGTATCGGCTGAAGTTGCCACACTTTACAGTAGTAGTACACAAAGAACAAATGGATAGAAAAAGAGTGATATCAAAGTAGACAAAGTTGTAAACGGACCATAAGAAGAATACCTATTATAAATAGCTATCATGAGAAATTAACAAGTGAGAACTTTGGATCATTCATGTGTCAGTCGAAGTCACATATACTGTTTATAACTTTTGTTCTAAATTGACCACATCTACTACTACGCGTGTTAGTGCTTACAGAAAGGAATAAAAGTACTGATGACCGTAGTGGTTCTGCATATTTTTAACGCTATGGTTAGATCTTCGAATAAATTCCCAAGTATTTCTTTCACTATTCAGTTTGTAAATTAAGTTTTCATTATAATATAATTTGTTGACAGTGTCTAGCGGTATAGTGACTTTAGTTATCCAGAACGTATACTGGGTTCTTATTTACTTACAGCATTTTCTCACCTGACTGTAGAAAAAGGAATGCGTTTCAATGACACTTCTTCCAAAGTTATTACTAGTTGGTTGTATCTTTTAGATACTATTCATAGTAGTAAGAATCGGAGAAACACTTTTTTAAAAAGTAAAAAATATTTTCCAAGTTTCAACTCTATAGGTTTTTGTTATAATTAGCTCTGAATATAGTCAGTTAATTTACTCCTATTATTCGTAATCCTTTTTTCGATGGATAGAACTACTTGAAATTAGTTACTCGACAACAAGATGATCGCCGTGTATCACTGTCTAATATCAACTCACCAGTTATAACCCGTGCTCGTATCGGATCATGTCCAAATACATCGCCAGCAGAAGTTTCTCTCCCACCGAAGCCACCTAGGAAATGATTACGCCATATTTCTGTAAAAAAAAATACAAAATAGGTATGATTCACCAACACATATTGCTAATGCATGCAGTCACAAACTGCATGCTTAATTTAATGACAAACAGTTTAAAAATTCGGTGCATGTTACCTTAAGGATGCAGGTTTCTGGTGTTTTATTATTCTCTCCATAATTATTCAGTTTTAGAAGAACTTTGTGTAGTTCATATTTTGTTACAATTATAAGGTTATCTTTTTTCGTCAAATCTTGGCATACAATCAAATAACACTTACCTTTTACTATTTGGTGTCTGCGAATTTTTTTGTGATATATTGTCAGTCATTACTTACCCGCTTGGTATGAATACAATTGTTTTTGGATATTTTTTAATATCTGAAATGCTTGTTTTATAAAATCCTCATTTCTTACTAATTTGGAGCATCATATTTATATCCTCTATCCTCTGGCAAGAGCCACCCTGCAATAGTCTGAAGAATATTTCCATTACTAAGTGGTATCAGTTGGAGAATATTTTAAAATTGGAAAACTGAGCAGAAATTTCACCTTAGTTTGTATAAGTTCGAACTTCGTAAGAGAATAAAACTGGATTTTCCAATTTTTCTGGTAAACATGGTATTCATTAGCCATCGGGTTGAAAATTTCAGTTCAGCTGATTTGTGATATAACACCATCATCATCTAGTGTTGTTAACTGGCATTGTTTCAGACCCCTGTTCGACGACTTCCTACTTCTTTCTGTGGACCTGTTTCGAAATCGATTTCCTTGACTACTGTCGTGACTGTAAACGACTTAATTCGTACTCTGTGATTAATTGATAGAGTGCTTCCTATGAGATCTGAAGATTCTAGGTTCAATTTCTTATAGAGTTGAATATGTGCCTCAAACTTGCCCTGAACAACGTTGAAACAGTTTTTGTAGCACTCTTTTCCAATTTTCTCCTGCTGGTTTCACTTCATGAGAGGAACTAATTTCAAATTATTCATTTCATGAATCTTACAGTAGTAGTTTGTTTATCTTCATCAGATGCCACCTTATCCTCAGTATTATTTTACGCCATGCCGTTAGTGATTTCAACGCAAAGTATTATTTTCCGATAATTAATCACTATCCTAGATATTGTATGCCATCTTGTCAATAATTGCTTAAAGCTGCTGGTTTTTGTGGTGTTCACTGCAGGACAGCTTTTGTTTGCTAGCATGAGCTTTCTTGTACTTGCTCCTGTTGCATGATAATAGTTATTATAGAACACATTAGCGACAAAAATATACACATCAAAAAGATGTTTCATTATTAAGGAAATTAGGACAGCCTTTTTGAATTTGACTTCTCTCAAAAATTCGGTAAATATCCGTTTTCCTAACTAAAATTCAGATTACTGTTAACAGTTCCGTTTCACAGTTCACTCATAGTTATCGTCTACCATATTGACGTACAGTAGTTATCATTAAATATATTTTCACTACTACATATTCTTATCATGTCTTGGGCTACTCTAGTATACCTAATGATTACTTTGTTAATAAGCATGTGTACATTTCAACTATATATGCACAAAATACAACTATCTGAACAGTGTTCTGAGATTGTTTCACTAATCGTCTAAGTGGTGGATTAGTTTACATTTCTATCTTTTGCAGTGACACATAATTGTTGTTATGCCATCAGTGTGTAAGGAAGATGGAAAGTCTAACCATGTATAACATGAAACCCCACTTTATCCAACAACTGTTGTTGTTTTGTCATCCATACACTTCTATAAGATATGACTAAATGGATGTATCCAACACTTTTAGTTTTCTCTCCTCCAAAGCGTAAATTTAACCGTTTGCTTTCATCGACAGAGTATGCATAATCTTTTTTTTCTTCACTCATTTTTCAATGACAAATTACTTTTTGTACTAGAACGTGTTAACTTTAATTACTGGGATATCTGTCTGATTGTTTGCTTTTTACGGTTTGAGTATCACTCATTTGTATGGATACTATCTTCAGGAGATAGATGTACAGTATACTTTGATTTTCAGAAGCTTACACTTTGAGAAATGCATCAAATATTTCTGGTGATACCCTACGTTTAATCCATGTGACAACTGTGATTGTTTTATGTGATGCAATCACAGGAACATCCAGCTTGCTCATCTAGTCCTATTGTTTACAGTTTGTCGTGAGATTATTGAAGGTAGCATAGTATTCTATCAGTGATATTTGTTTAACTGGTGTTTGCTAGATGTATATCTATCTATATCTTGAAGGTTCTATCTATTACGTGTGTACACCCGTTCGACTACCGGCATACAACTTATCTACAGATACCTGTCGATTGTCTGACTTTTCTTTTGATCATTTGTAACGACATTGAAAATCAGGTTATATCTGAATATTGCAATACCGAATCGGTATGTAATCTAAGTCCTGACTACCCAGTTGCTGTTTCTAAAGTAACTGGCGTAATTTAATGTAGATCTACTGTTATTATTATTATGCTCCAGCTGGATTACTGAAAGTAACTCATTACAACAGGGGGGGGGGAGGTATTTGAAAGTCGATTAAAGATCATGATAAATGGAATGTGCATAATATAAATGTATATATAGTAAATGTATACAGATCAGCAATAATCAATGCGGTGAAAGGTTTTAATTTGTTAAAATTTGTAATCAGTTTAAAGTTATTGTTGTAATTAATTAATCAATACACTCGCAACTGATATACTTATGGGTAGATGTGTATAAATCGATATATCTTTTAGTGAAAAAAGTGTTCTATGTGAATTGTTTATTCAGTTCTAGTTGAATGACAGCAATAATGATAATAATATCAGTTGTATGAATGTATCCTGACTAATAATGAACTGGTCAATTTAGAAAAACCTGGGCACTGAGTTAGTATGATTTATCGTATAAGGTGTATCGTACTTGTATAATCTCGGCGTAGTATGTTTTATATCACCTTATACGATGAATAATAGTTGTGAGTTACAACAAAATTGAAGTTTATTTTTGATATACTCAGTTTCTCGCAGACTTTACTTCTTGGTTAGCTTTTGCATGGTGAACTGCCTTTATAACCAGTATAGCATGGTATGCGTACCTGATTCTTTATCTTCACACTTTTTTATTTGAACTTTCTGGGTAGTTCATATAAGAAATTGATGTAATCGTAAATCAATCTGAATCAGTTATCTAAAAGCGAACAGTTTCATCATTTCTGTGTTGATGATTATGATTTGATCTATCGTACTTCGCTTTACGAGCCTAGTGCTGTACAAGTTAGCATATGAAATACTACATACTAAGATTTAAATCGTATTACAATCACTTCATATTTAATGGTGTAGTAGGATTCCGTATTTTAAACTGGTGGAGCGCTCAGCTAGAGACTATTGGTCTGAATAGGATAATTACTTGTCCTGGAATAACTCTATGGTATTGTGTATTTCACACCGTTTGTTTTTAAGGAGAAGTACTCACGTTTTGCTAGCTTTCGTCATTCATGCATAAGTGCATGCTATGTCTGTTGTATGCTGCATGCATTCAAATAAGATTGGATGTATTTTTGAGGCTTATCCGTTACATGATACTTCCATATTAATAGATGTTTAGTTAGTTGATCTGTTTATTTGTTGATACAATATATGCCTATCTATGAAGCACAATAGTTATGTCAAACGTGTTATTTTAAAGAAATATGCACATACCGTTTCGTATTAGCAGTAGATATGCTAACTTGTTTCATCATCATATGCATCTTTTGAATATATGCTTTACTCTTTAAATTTTCAGGAGTCTTTGACTTTACCACGTCGTATGTCAACACGTCGTACTGTTCGCCCTCAATCAGTTCCACAGTCAATCAAAACATTAAGTTTTGGAGACCCAGCTGACTAACTCTATCCTTAATAGGAATCCGAAGTTTTAGATAATTCTTCCAGTCTATACAATCTTTCTGCTGAAAATGTTGATTAGGTTTTTAAAATACTGTACAGCCGCTTACCCCGAGTCATCTTGAATTTCAAGCTATTCGCCTAGATTGTTCAGTGCTGTCCAGAAGATAAACTGTATGTGTATGTGAATCTATGCATTTTATTTTCTCATCATTTTTCTCCATTTAATTTATATCAACAAGGTATGTTGCTTGTTATGATAAATATCTGACAAAAATCCCTGTTATACTGTCGAATTTCTGTGTCATCTTATTCCTTCTGTCACTGTGTGCGCTAACGCTCTAAGTACTACATAAACTCACAGACTCATAAAATCCTTAATGAGTAAACTTCCTATTACTTGTGTTTTCGTATATCAAAGAAAAGTGCTCCTTACTTTTTATCAGCATGTGAACGGAAAAGAGATTTGTTTCTTCGTTCTTATTCCCTTGTTCGCAGCATCCTGTTGTATGCGTAAACTATATGATCATTGCTTGAATACCTCTCACACATTTTATATTCTGCAATTAAATTGATGAACTGTTTTTCGTATCTTTCAATATCTGTATGTGTTTCAGATGTTAGTACATCTTTGTATGTCTGTCAAGTAGGCATATTCATGAAAATACTGCTACGAACATTGTGTCTGTTTTTTTTGGTTTGTGTACATAAAATGCATCCAGACTTTTAGTATATATCCTGTCTTTTATGGTGAAGAAACAACTTATGATTCATATAATGAAAGCAGCCTACTTGAGTTGTGTAATAAATGTTCCCCGTTGTAAATGTGAAAAGAAAAGTGAACAACAACAGTATGTTTTCATTTTCCTTATGTCATATACTATCCGTAAAAAGATGTACTTTTCTATCATCCCACGGGAGATTAAAATATTATATCACATATTGACGTCTTGAGAATAGATCGCTTTATTGTTTATCTTTGGGTATTTGTGTGGATGTTATTTTGTGTGAAATGTGAAAAATATTTGCAGGTGTATCAACCAATCAGCATTACTGAGGAGACTGGCATAGCTACCTGTTAGTTTCAGTTGTCACGTGTCATATCAGCACATCAAGGTAGAAGGCGTCAGAACTAAAGGTAGAAAAATAAAGCCAATAAATAATCAATATCATAGGAAATTATGAAAAGAGAACAAGAAGGAATAAAACTAATGGAATTTGGCATAACGATTAAGATGATGATACTGTGTGGATGCATATACACTACTGTGGTTAGTTGTCACGCGAATCCCAACCACGAAGTCTAAATTTTCCTACACTGCTCAGGCTGAAGGTAAAAATCTCCAAGGACTGACACCATGCTTTAGTTTTGCCACTTCTAACTGTTTACCAGCCTAAACCTATTTCAGCTATCATCGTGTGACGAGGCAGGTGTTAACTATGCACACATAACGCACGTTCCAGTCGCCTCATTCGGTGACGGTTCACAACTTCTGATTAATATTCCCCTTCTATCTAAGCCTGTACGACTAACTCTAAAAGCACTATGTCATTTACGTAGTCCACGTCTTCTAAGGAGTTTCTTGTGATTGTTTCAGCTTCTGTAAAGTCAGATGGGGCGAGGGATATCTCCGAAAACAACGTAGGAAATGCAGCTAGTTTTGGGCGCTGGTAAATGCACATGTGTTCCACAATATAGAGCAGGGTGAACACCTCATTGATACACCTATGACCAGGTCTGGAATCTGTCTAGTTTTCTCCTGTTTGCTGTTTGAGAGCGTGTTGGTGGTTAGTGATTATGGGACCTAGCGTCTTAGACACTGTTTATCACACTGATTCACTTGTGGTTATCACAAGAGGATTTGTTGTCCTTGTCGAAGAATGTGACAATCTGTGATTAAGACTGGTAAGAAGGGATCATATGTAGTTCCTATCCACCAGCTAACACTTCGGTTAACCTGGCCAATAGCTACCGACGACCATCCTTGTGAACCTCCAATACTAGTTCATCTGCCTTGGCTGTCATTCCTCTATTCAGATTGTGTACAGCCCTTAGAGTTTCTGCAAGAGCTAGAGGGCCCGTCTGTGTTAAATTCGAGGTCCGACTGGTTCACGAACAATAGAATTTTAGTCATTGGTCGGCTGAACTATTCCTCGAAGTGTTCCATCCTTCCTTCTAGTTTTCGTCTCCTCGAGTAAATCGCATTTATCTTTCTTCATTTTAATTTCCGTAACCACTGACTATTTTTTGTAGTTTTCGTGACCAGTATAAATAACTGTCGCTTATCCCCTCTGCATTATCCATCTGTTCATCCTTCGCTGCCCGCCACTTCGCACAGTCATTACGTAGACTTCTCATCAGATTACATTTGAGTTGCTCCAACTCCTCATGGTGCTCAGGCCATAGGACTGCGCTTGTGTTTACTTCTGAAGAACCTGATGAAATCCACTGACTATTTCTAGTCGTCGCCTTAGGGTCAGCAACGATTTGAGACACTGCTCTCCTAACAGGGGAGATGGCACCAGTCTTCTTCATGATGAGTGGTGCTGTCTGGTTCCTTTAGCTGTCCAGCCAGTTCTTCATCGAAAGGAGCCTTAGTATTCTCATCAAGCTAAGATCGAAATGGTCTTGTTACCCTAGTTTTTCTACATCCTTTTAGGTGAACATGTACTCGAACAAACATGTGGTCGCTATCCAGACACTGACTCCAGAAAAATTGGTAACATTGACCGGACTCTAGCGACAACTGATAGCGATATGATCTGTGTTCACCATTGAGTTCGGTGGATGTTGTGTCAAACAGTGTCTGTCTTCATGTTTGGATTTTGTGCCGGCTAGAAGTAAACTTTATTTGAACATAGGTGTACCAGGCGATCGCGGTTGGACTTTCTTCCACCTGGGATTCTGAAAGTGACACCTAAATGCGTCTCTGCCTTGTGCACTGAATTCACCTGTGAGGCCAACCACATCTGAGTGCTTGGCTTTTATTAGGAGGCTAAACAGTTCTAGGTAAAAATCATCCTTCCCACCATCCATACTGCAGTCAGCGGGTGCGTAATCAGAAAGTACAAAGAGATGACAGCGAATTTCAATATTCTTAGTACTGAATGCACCATTTAGTTGGACCTTGCACAAGTGACTGTCAACTGGGATCCAATTAAGGTATGTGCTTTCTGCCTTAACACTTAATGCTATACCTGTACTTGTAAGACCATGAGAACTAACCATCAAATCTTGAGTAACTCGAAGAATTACTTTTCAGATTCATCAAATAAATCAGGTGAGATTGAGCGAGTAGCTATATTTGGGTTCTGTATGGATGTTTCACAGAGGGTCCACCTTTATGATGTGAGACATCAGAGTTTTGGCAAGTGACGCCTGTTCGATATGATGGGAAGTGCGGGGATTGAAAGCTTCGATGTGTATTTTGGATTTATCTCTCATATTCATATCAGAGTGATATATATGTGAGCAATAAATTCTGGTGGAAGTGTCATCTTGTAAATAATACTGCGTCACTGTGTTTTATATCAAATTAACAATCTAATATGAGACTATACTCAACCGCGATGTGTAAGTTTTTTTCGTACATTAATGTAGTAGCTATGAGTTGGTTTAAGGTGTTGTAAGTGTACTTCCTAGGTAAGTTTGTTACCCTAATTTTGTGTGGGGACATTCCTGAATGTCAAAGTTTTCCCCACTTCTCATACTAATGCATTAGCTACTACTATACCATTTCATTGACCTGAGTAATGAATATCTATCAGAAACTTAAATGTCTCCGAAGTGTACTTGGAAGAACCATTAGGAGATGAGTTTTTATTGATTAGTGTCACGTCTCAGTCTGCTTACCCCTAGCTTACTGGTAAATTAATTCTACTTCTATTGACAGCACTGACTTGCTTATTTTCATTGTCGAGTACTGTGTGTCTAACCTCAAACCGATATTCACATAGATGTTGATGTAAGTAACATTTAATTTACTGTTTCGATGCAGAAAGATACTGTTAGCTTTCACCCACATGTTATATCAGCGCAACATCCTTTAAATTCCAGTTGCCGATGTCCTGACTGCCTTATGAGTTCAGTTAGTAAGTCAGTAGTGGGAGTCGAAATCTAATCAACAACCTTGTGCTCATCCATGCGGTAGACAGTGAACCACACGTATTGTTAGAGGTGTAGGAATACTAAACAGTTGCATAAAACTCGTAAGGAAGAGTGGGAATCGAACCAGTGACCCATCGGTTGAAAGTTAAATTCAATATCAATGAGCCACAGCTCCACAATAGCGTCAGTACAACAACCTGTTGTATGAACTAAATATACTGACCTAATAATTGATATAAACGCTAAATCCTATTTATCTTCATTAGAAGACTTTATGTCGCTCGTAATATCATATGTTATTCAATACCTGTGTCTTCGGGAGAGAAAAAACCAGTCAAAATGCATTGTTGATGTCTAGCAAACGAGTCGATAATGCATATTTACGAAGTACATTCGTATGTTTTGTTAAAAGTTCATAAATACATAAATTATTGTGTAGACTTATTTTTCTTATCAGAATCTACTTATTGGATTTTAATGAAACATTTTTCTATCGGGGAGGAATTTTTGTTCTGCTTTGTTTTTTGTCACATTCACATGACCTCTCTGTTTGATTTTTGTTCAGATATTAGCAGCCTGACCATTTTCTTCACGTTTTCAATGGTATTTATTATATGAACATTGTTTTATACATTTTCAGATAAATTTAGTGTTGGGGACTTTTGTTTTGTAACTATAGTTCATTGGTTTACGCTTTCGAATTTCTGCTTCACCTACTTTGGCCTGAAAAGCCAGATAGTGTCATAAGCTGTAACACAAATGTGGCTTATAGTTTAATGCCTATAAACATGTGCTGGGTTTAATTACATTATTATTTAATGAGCATTCCTAAGTTAGCAGGAGCATTTATGTCGAGACTACAGTAAAAATCTTATTCACAACGTGCATCTCCTGAC